TTGGTGAAATTGAGTTAAATTGAGGTATAAATCATGAAATTGGAGTTGAATTGGGTTTCAAGGAATTGAGAGTAATTTTGATATATATAAAATGATTTTTGGAAATATTTGAAAGACAAAAAAGTTGAAAATCATTTTTTTAATTAAGTGCTCTTGTCATGGGCCTCTTTGCCATTAAATTTTTCAATTTAGATGCATCAAGTTCATCGTTACTCCTAGGGGCAACAATCACCTTAGCTTGTTCCCCAAGATTGAAAGTCTTTAGAGTGAAATTCGGGTTCATATACTCGCGGTACATCTCTCATATCCGTTGTGGCTTACAACTCTCGGATTAGTGAAGTTCCATATTCCGGTGAGGTTTCTCTTTGCCATCTCAATTGATATTGGAAGAAGCTCGTCTAATATTGTCATTTAATTCGGCATGTCCACCACTTTCTCATACCTTGTGATTTTTGTGACGAAGTTACAAGGGTTTGAAAGATCCGATGAAATTGGCATCCTCACTCGCAATGTGCACACGTTCTCATAGTTGTGTAATAAATCCTCAACCTTGACAATCATATTAGTGTAATCAATAAAAAAACGTATGCTCTAAGATACAAATTACACAATAATTTCTAGCATGGATAATCAATCTCCACATTTCGAAGGGACAAACTATACCTATACTTGCAATATTGCAAGATTTGTAAAGTATTTTCGATAAACAAGCGGTACTTTCACAAACTCTAGTAAAGTGGAAATCGGACGGATCCTATCGAAATTAGCAATTCATGAAAAATTCCAAAAACACAAAATCGGAAGCGAAAACACTAATTACTAATCACGTTCTGAAAAAAGAAGAAGGAAAATTTGGAATGAATAATATTGTTCCTAAACCGGATTTTTTTGGATTGGAGTTGGCAAAATTCCGAATTCCATTCCTTCAGTTACCTATAATACGCAATAGGTAATAATATTGATAATATAAATGTATTGATAATATAAATGTACTTTCGGAAAGGAAAAATGGAACTTTTTAGAAATATTTTTGGAAACTAAAATTGAATAGAAAACCTGAATCTAATATGTATTCCATTCTAAAAAAATCGAAAAAATGGGAAATGGGAACTTTCAGGATTCTAAATGAAAAATATTGTTCCAAAATCGGAAATATTCGAATCGGAAATCCGCAAAATTAATTCACCAGTTCCCATATAGAATAATACTCTCAAAGCCAACCCGATAAAACAATCACACATTAAGACTTAAGAGTCAAGTACAAGTTCTACAACACATTAACAAACGTATAAGACAAAGATCAAATAAGAAGAACTCACCAATATTGCTTTGGTCTTGGAGTAGAAGGATCCGATAAAGTTGGGTGTGTCCTCCTCCTTGAACCCGACGCCCGACCCGAGCGGGTGACCCGAATCGTACTCGAAGATGCAACCCGTTGCGTAGTTAATCAACACCAGTCCCTTCTCCCTGCACACGTCAGCGAGCGTCAGCGTGCCGACAACATTTGTCCGTATTGTCTCCACTTTTAGTATTGTAGAACAAAAAACCCGACCCATTACCTTATTTCAGAACATAACACAAATTTATGATTTTTTCTCTCAACACATTCTGCAACACATTCTGCAGATTGTGGTAAAAAAATTGTAAGAATCTTCAGTTTCTTCTTCGATTGTCAGCTATTATGGTGATCCCGCCCATAGATTTAAAAAGTATGAGTTGGAAACGGGGAGAATGAATGCACAAAGAGAATAGAGGTAAGAGCTAATGTATAAACCCCACGAAACCAATATGCAATTTGTGTAACAAAATGAAAAGAGGCAATGTTTAAAACCCATAAAATCCACATTGATTTTCCTCGTCCAACAAAAATGAAAAGAAAGTCAGAAATTCAAACACCCATAAATTGCAGCTCCACCAATTGAATATTAAACACAAAGAATGGAACGCGTGAATAATCTTATCTTGTTAAAAAACTTTTGCCTTTGAAGAGAAAAACGCAATCCCAATTTTGGAGCTCAATTGTGTAATTGTGGGTTATAAAGAATTAAAAAATTGGCGATTCGATTGCAAAATTGTATAAATACCCTGAAAGGACGAAAATGCCCTTTTAGTTGACGGAGACATGAGAATATCGGTGAAAATAATGCCGGAAAGTCCATTTGGGGCACCTATAACCAAATTTGGAAGGGGGATATATAATCTCATATTTTAATTCGTAGAGGGTAGGTGCGAAAACTAAAATTTTTAGGGGGCGAAGTGCATTTGTTCCATAAATATATAATGACAATGTTTGTTTGGGTTAAAATTTGGATTAATTCCATTTTGCACCCCTTAAATGAAGTATTTTGGCGTTTTGCAGCCTTAAAAAACAATAGTAACACTTTACACCCTCATAACACAACAAATCATTAACAATGCACCCTTAATTGAATAATAAAGACAATTTCATTTTTATTAGTTTTTTTTGTGTGCAAAATAACAAATTATAAATGGTACTTCTGGTATGATACATTAGATGATTTTACAACATTAATCTATAGATAAAAGCACACATCCACATGTATAAATTTTGTACATATATCTGGACAATGGACCCATCCTAAGGGTCCCTTAACTTTGATCCTTTCACTTTGTTACACTAAAAACATGATTCATATTTTTGTAGAATTCTAATGAGGCATTAGTTGTGCTGTGACCTTTATTACTGAAGGTCATTGAAATGCCACACTATTGGATGAATTTTAACCATTGATTGAATAACTTTCATCTTGAAAGTTATGTAGAATTTTTAGAAGATATCTGCGATTCCTCTCGATTTCTAATCCAATACACAAATCAATTGATTATGTTAAGCTAGAAACATGTTATGTATTGTCGACGATTGCTACATAAGGGAGTAATATTATATCTTGAACATTTACATATCCAGGGCGCTTGATACAAATAGACGCATCACAAATTCTATATAAATTACTTCTCAATACAATTTCTTGGTGAAATAACTTCCCACTAAACATACATGCAAATGGGTGTGCATTTGATTTTGTGCAAATTTACGGTAAATAATCACCCAATGTATTTAAGTGGGTGTAGAATCAAATAAACCCTTAAACACTTAATTAGATTTATACTTTATCCTTTTTTATGTAAAATTTATCAAATTATTGGTTAAGCGATAACAAAAATGAAAAAGATAAGGTAAAAATACATATGATTTATAATAAAAATGAGAATTAAACATAATAAAAAATCAAATTAATCTAAAGAAATGATTTTAATATTAATTGTCCATAGATCTTTAAAAACACGGTAGATTTGGTTTGAGCCCTCCCTCAACCAAAAAAGAAGAAGAAAATAAACAATAATGTAGAAATCATCTCATCAAAGGAAAGTAGAAAGAGATTTAAAACTAATTTAAAACAAACAAACCCTCACCCATCATGTTTTTGGCATCATCAAGTCTACTCGATTTGGACGGGTGATTCAAGGCGGTAATTTGGCGGCCGAGCACGGCGAAAAGGTACGGCACAAGGCGGTGGGGGAAACATCGGTGGGGGGAACAAAGGTGGACCGTGAAGGGATTGTGGATAGAGAGAGAAAGTTAGAGAGAGAGAGATGAAGAGAGAGATGTAACGGCTGAGACGTGTGAGTGGAAGAGAGAGAAGGCTAGGGGGCTAGGGCATGTATTATATTGAAATTAAAAGGGTAAAAACAGGTACATTAAGTTGTTCAGGAGGTCTCACAAATTAATATTAGAATTTGGGTTTTTTATTAGGGCGGAAAAAAATATTGGACCTCCTCATATATATTTTCAAATTAGGGGTGCATTACTCATTTACCCTAATATAAATAAACTTAGTAAGAGCAATACTGAAAATTACGAATATAACCCCAATATTGATTTTGATATTATTCATTCAAGTTAGATCTAATTATTATTATTGTAAGATAAAAAAAAAGGAAAAATGAGAGGGAACACTCTAGTGGGGGATGAGAAAAACATAAGGTGAGAAGAACTATCGCCGCCCATCCGCCACCGAAGAAACACCGCACACGGCCGCAGCCGATGAAACCCATTGCGCACCACAATCTCTTGACCGCCGTCGCCATACCATTGTCACCCAATCTTCGTGCAATCTTCATGCTTGAAGAGGAATAGAAGAAGAAGATGGAGGAAGGAGGAAGAACGAGGAGGAGGAGGAGAGCATGAAGAAAACTGAGATGAAGAGAGGAAGAGGAAGAAGAACAAAAAAAAAGAAGAAGACGTGGAGGAAGATGAAGAACAAGAAGAAAAAGAAGAAAATTCGACTTGTACATGATGATTTTTTGACGAAAAATCGACATCTAGACGTTGATGCCGATATTTTGCTAAAAAAATCGACATGTATGTGTTGAATTTTGACTGCGAGAATTTTCTTTTTGAAAACTTAAAAAATCGATAACCTAGCTATAAAAAGACATTAATCCATAGTTTGTTTTCTACTTTTCCTTAGAATCCTCCATATTGATGTCTTGTGACTCCATAATGTCATCCTTTGCATGTTTTAGAAAGATTTGAGGGTTTTGGGTGTTGAAACTTTTTGGAGAAAATAAAGAGATGTTTTAGAAAAAATTGTGTACAATGGATTTGTGAAGAAGATAAAGCGAATTTTGTTGGTGTGGACTTGCACAAAAGAATTTTGTGGAGTTTTGTGATTGTGGGCTTTGTATTTTAGTAAGAATATAATAGTCTCTAGTAATTCATTTAGTGGAAAAATTGAATTTGTTCCGGCCCCAAGTAATCGCGGGGATTGCATATAATCGCCGCCTTTATTTAAAATAAGTCTTACTATTTTATTCAAATTAATGAAATAAAAATACAAAAAAAATTAAATAAATGAATCTAATAATTTTTCAATAAGAAATAAAGCCTACAAAAGAGTAGGAAATTGGGCTTGGGCCGAAAATTTAAAAAAGGCTCTACAATATCAACCATATAAATTTCCTCAACCAAACAAAGCCCTAATATCCATTCTAGGGTTTTCCAAAATTCTGCACACCCAAATCGCCGCTGCCATCTCAATTCTCTCTAAGCAATTCCGAACATGGCGACTCAAATGAGCAAAAAGCGAAAGGTTTTTTCTTTTTTCAATTTCAGTAATCCAATCTGTATATGTATTTTGGTTTCGTAATGAAGATTTTTTGGTGGCTGATTTTTTTTGGTGAAAACTGAATTTTGCTGCAGTTTGTGGCTGACGGAGTGTTCTTCGCTGAGTTGAACGAGGTGTTGACTCGTGAGCTTGCGGAGGATGGATACTCTGGTGTGGAGGTCCGAGTTACTCCCATGAGGACTGAAATCATCATCCGTGCAACTCGCACTCAGAACGTTCTCGGTAATTAATTTTTATTCCGTTCTCTTTGATTTCGATTCATACCTAATTTGCCGATTTTTTATGCGTTTATGTTCGTAAAGATCCGATTTTTTTTTTTTTTTGGTTATGTTGATATAGTTTTTTTTTTTTTTTTTGTGTTTGATTTGATTGGTTTGATTTACAATAGGGGAGAAGGGAAGGAGGATTAGAGAGCTGACTTCTGTGGTTCAGAAGAGGTTCAGGTTTCCCGAAGGCAGTGTTGAGTTGTATGCTGAGAAAGTTAACAACAGGGGTCTTTGCGCCATTGCCCAGGCCGAGTCTCTTCGCTACAAACTCCTCGGTGGCCTTGCTGTCAGGAGGTAACGAATTTTACTCGTGTCATTCGGAATATCTTGATGGATAATCTCATACTTACTTGCACGGCATTTGTTTTTTATTTTTATCAATTTTGTCGCTTCGTTTGTGGATTGTATGATTTTGGTGCCAAGAATAACTGAAATCTGTACACATGTATTATTGGATGATGACTAAAATAGCCAACTTCGTCCGAATCGTTATTTTCGTGAATTTAGTTGTGCTCATGCTGCTACCACGGAGAAGAGACACTTTTGGTTAATTTTCCACTTGTTGCTCCCATGTTCTGATCACTCACCTCTTGGCATAGTTGTAGTTTAAAGATTTTTTAGAGACAATTTCGAGAACACTACAACTTAGCAATGTAGTCAGAATTGAGATCTGAATCGGAAGATTTAAGATATTACGCACTTGTTTTTTGTTATTGGTATATATTTTAGAAAGCTATTACAGCTGTCGTGATTACTTAGTGGATTAGAGCTTGTTTCACCTGACTAATTAATTGACAATGTACTGACCTCGAGTCATCTTAAAAACAATTTTGGTGCTTCAATACCAATCTTTGTGTCGGATGTTGACTAGAATAACTTTCTTGCTCCATGTTACTTTTGCTGCAATGTTTCTGGTTTTCATTCAGCAACCATGGAGTAGAAACATGGTTAATCTTTTCTTTTACTTTTTGGAATAGTTACCGTTGGAAGATTTCTGTATAGAATTTTAGAAAGTCGTACTATGTATCTATGTTAATGATTGTTTTTCTGCGTATGTAGTACAACAGTAATGCTCTTCCAACATATAGTCTGGTGAACTTTGTCTCTCTTTGTTTAAAATATTTTCATGTGCACGTATGGTGGTTTGGTTTCTGAGAATGAGATGTGTGATTTAACATGTGATTTAAATTAAGTATTTTATATTGAGCATATTTACTGAATAAACTTGGGTGTATTACAATAATTATTTGTTATTTTTAACATAAATCTGCATCAAGTACTTCTTTGTTTTATTGAACGTCTAATTTATTCTAGAAATAGTTTCTTACAAGTGCGATCTTTTGTTGGTCTACCACAGGGCGTGCTATGGTGTTTTGAGGTTTGTTATGGAGAGTGGAGCCAAGGGATGTGAGGTAAGTCACTCATTTTCTTAAATTTAGTTGCTCGTATATCGAAAATGTGATTTTGCATGTCCATCTAATTGAGTACTGTGCCACAGGTGATTGTGAGTGGCAAGTTGAGAGCTCAGCGTGCCAAATCCATGAAGTTCAAGGATGGGTACATGATTTCGTCTGGTCAGCCCGTCAAGGAATACATCGACGCTGCTGTTAGACACGTTCTTCTCAGACAGGTACACTTAAAAATTTTCTTTATCGTATTATTTTAAAAAAAATGTTGGATTTCATTTTCGATTATTGTGATTTTTTGTCGTTATAGGGAGTGCTTGGTATCAAGGTCAAGATCATGCTTGACTGGGACCCGAAAGGAAAACAGGGACCGACAACTCCTCTTCCCGATTTGGTCACGATTCATCCTCCAAAGGAAGAAGAGGTTTACATCAGGCCATCAACTGCTGTACCAACTGAGGTCGAGGTCGAAGCGTAATAGATCCATGTTCAGCTCAACTTCTCGTTAGATTATTATGTTTTTTTTACGGATGAAACCAATTTTCGATTTTGTTTGGTATGATTATCAAAGATTATTATTCAGTGTTATCGTTTTCTCGTTTTTATGTTCTTTTGTAAACTATTGAGATTGATATTTTATTTTCATATTTTTGTGGGGAAAGTTAACTTTTGGGGCAAAGACATGAAGGAATGATGGATGGGTTTTTTGTAGGGAACATGAAACCTAGTGGTGATGAATGGGTCATACTATAAATGTAACAAAAGTTATGTCCTAATATGCTATTATTATTTATTAAGACTTAAATTTCGTTGGCTTTGGGTTAAACTTGTTGAGAATAAAAAATGCATTCTATGGTTAATAAAATGCATTACCTGTGAAGAGAGTTTTCTTAATTTTGCATTACAGTCTTTTCTTTTTTGTTTCTTGAAAGTCTAGATAAGGATTAATCCCACTTTGCACCCTTTCAATGGAACATTTTGGCACTTTGCACTCTTGTAAAATAATAATAGCATTTTGCACCCTCAAAACGAATAAATCATTAACAATGCACTGATAATTCATTTTTATTGGTTTTTTTTCCCGGTGCAAAATAACATATTAAATTGTTATTTTGTTAAACGCCCAACTTAATTCGAGCCCACAAAGTGCGAAAAAAATAAAAATCACACCGCATAATTAAAAAAAAAAATTATATTTTCTTACAAAATAAAATTAAATAAACTTTTATCACTAAATTATTCGATTGATAGATCTTTTAATTTAATTGGTGGAAATATTAGGTAGAAATATTTGGAAGAAAATATGATTTTCAGATAACTTGATAACGAAATAGCTGAAGGGTTTTTTTTTTGTATAATATTTTTTTGTGATAAAAAATATAATTTTTAAGTACCACTAAAAATATTAAATGACCTTTATTAACTTTAAAATCTCATGTAGGGTGCATTATGCCTGATATATTATATTTCGAAGGTGCAAAATGCTATTAATTTATTTTAAGGGTACAAAGACCAAACTGGTACATTTGAAGGGTGCAAAGTAAGATTAAGCCCATTAAATAAAGAAAAAAAGAAACCAGATTAAAGTAAAAATGTCCATCTCATTTATTCAGAAATGAAAATCAATACAATACAAAATTCAATACCCATAAAAAAAAATTAAACTGATGCATGTTAAATAAACATTGAAAGGAAACCGAAAAACGTAACGTTCCACAATAAGCAAACACACACACACAAAAAAAAAACAATAACCCGTGATTTTTCAAGCGACGGGTGTCTTCCTATTCGGCTTGAAAACGTTCTCGATAAGCGATTCCTTAATACCCAACATTTCCGGGAATTCCTTCTTCAACTTAGATGCGTCAAGTTCATTGTTACTCCTCGGTGCGACAATCACCTTAGCTTGTTCCTCAAGATTGAAATTCTTCCAAGTGAAACTCGGATCGATATACTCGCGGTACATTTCCAATATTTCGTTGTGGCTCACGACTCCGGGATTAGTGAAGTTCCATATCCCGGTGAGGTTTCTCTTTGCCATCTCGATAGATATCGGAAGGAGCTCGTCTAGTATCGTCATTGAGTTCGGTATGTCCACCACTTTCTCGTACCTCGTGATTTTTGTGATGAAGTTACGAGGGTTTGAAAGATCCGACGAAATTGGCATCCTCACTCGCAATGTGCACACGTTCTCGTAGTTGTGTAGTAAATCCTCAACCTTCGACAACCGTAATAGTGTAATTAATTATAACAAATTGTGCGATAAATTATATTATATAAATCACCAAGAACTACAAATCATACAATAATTTCTAACATGGATAATCGCTACATCTCCAAGAACAAACTATACTTACCATAGTGCAAGATTTATACGATAAAAAGGAATATCATCGGAAGTGAAAAACTAATTCCCAATTCTATTACCAAAAAAATTAAATCGGAAATTGGAATTAAAAAATTGTTCCAAAACTCGCGAATTGGCATAAACGATTTTGTTCCAAAATTACAAATTTGTAGATCCAAATTGGCGGAATTCGGAATTTCCGATGTTTTAGTCACCTTAATATGAAACATACTGATATTATAAATGGCGATTTCGGAAATATATTCGAAAACTAAAATCGAATCTGAAATCGGAATCTAATACACGTATTCCTTTCTAAAAACAAATTCAAAACAGATCGGAAATCGGAAGTTGGGATTCGGAACGAAAAGCACTATTCCAAAATCGGAAATATTCGAATCCAAATCGAATAAAAAATTCCATTCCGATTTTCACCTCTAAACTCTACACACATCATTACACACTAGATTCAAATCTAAGTTCTACAACACATTCACAAACGTATAATTAAGAACGGAGATCAAATAAGAAGAAGAACTCACCATTGCTTTAGTCTTGGAGTAAAAGGATCCGATAAAGTTGGGGGTATCCTCCTCCTTGAACCCGACGCCCGACCCGAGAAGATGACCCGAATCGTACTCGAAGATGCAACCCGTGGCGTAGTTAATCAACACCAGCCCCTTCTCCCTGCACACGTCAGCGAGCGTCAGCGTGCCGACAACGTTGGTCCGGATTGTCTCCACCTTGTGGGACTCGCACCAGTCCACGTTCGGCCGGCCGGTGACCCCGGCGGCGTTGAAAACGTGTGTCGGTTTGACGGTGGCGATGTCGGCCTCGAGGTCCGGCCGGTTCTGCAGACGACCCGACCCGTATACGTATTCGATTTTCTGGGCGTCGCATATCTTGCCCAACAACCCGCCTATCCAGCCGGTTCGGCCGTAGATCAGGAACTTCAGAGGTTCGGCGGCAGCGCCGTTGGCGGTGGCGCTCATTTCTGTAATTTACTGTGTTGTACTGTGTGTGTGTGTGTGTGAGAGAGATATAGAGAGAGAAATGAATTGTGTGGAGCTTTTAGTGTGGCTTTTCTTTCTTTTATCGGATCTGAATTACATTATTATTTATATAAGAGGAATTTTCTTGGGCATGGGTTTAAATTGACGAAAATACCCTCCCATTACATATTGGATTAGGACCTCATAATTTTATTATAATTTACAAAGAATCTTTATTAATGATATAAATAGAAAAGTTTAGATCTACTAAAGACTACAACATCGTAACTAGTGGAATTAATAGTGGGGGTTCTAATCTTAGAAAATCCTTAAGTGCGGTTAGAGATTAAAAATTATGGGCAATATGCTGAACAGCCCTGGACACTAATTCTCTTTCACATCAGGATAGATCGACTTTGGCAATTTGCTTAAAAGTCCTCTGTTCTTCACCTCCTCTTTTATTCCGTCAAATTCATTTTACACCACTTTATTCCGTCAGATCTGTCTAATCCCACTTCACTTCATCAAATTTGCTCCATTTTTGCTCTCCGCCGCTGCTACAGTCGAAGCTTTACACACATGCACACGCATAATCAGATGCCTACATAGGCACATACGCAACCACACACACGCACACACATACGATTTTGGTTACTCCACTTCCCCTTCGTATTAACCTAATAATTATGGAAACCAAAAAGAAAAAAATATGAAGAGTTGTTTGGTGATGCCAGATGGTAATCTTGGTGGTGACGTATGCACCAAATATTTAAGTATTTATCTTTCAGTTTATTTTAACTAAGCTGTGCAAATAAGTTTTCTAAGTTGTCTAACTTCACAGTAAAATTATACGAAATACATGTTATTTTCTACATTTTTGCTCATTGATGTAACCAATCTATGTAAATAAGTTTTATAAGTTGCCTGCGTAATTTGTGTATGCATTGTGAGATGTATCCATTCTTGTTTTAATTTGTTGTTCAGTTTATTTTAACTAAGCTATTACTTATCCATATAACTAAATTGTTGCTTATTAATATAACTAAGTTGTGCAAATCAGCGCATCACCATTACTATTAGTTTTCCTAAGCAATTCCGTCAAAGAGAATCCAGGCCTAGCGTCATATTCAACGCACAAGGACTTTTAACAAAATGCTTCTTTGATTTTCAGCAATATTTTTGGAAAGTAACAATTCTATTAAGTTCGTTCTCGGAAAACTTGCTGGTCGCCCAATTTTCCGCGCTCTTGCTACGGTCAAATGATCCTCTTCGGATAATTCGTCCAAGCGAAGGATAGCTACAAAATCCACATGTCCTTATAGCTAAAGATAATATTTTTTAGGAGCTTCCTGTTAATTTCCCCTAAAAAATAATATAATTAATTACTCCTCTTCCCATCTTAATTGTATTTTTTTTCTTCAATTTTGTCATATCACTTTTAATTAATTAAAAAATAATTATTTGAGAAGCAATTAAAGACAATGGTGTTTTATTTACTACTTTATATGTTTTTTTTATAATGCATGCATAGTTATTAGTTTTCTTAATACGTGCAGTTCAATCCAAATCGACAACTAAAATGGTGAGGGAGTTTTGATTTTCACATGAAATAATAAATACAATACAATTTTTAATAAATATCAGTCACGTTTTTTATTTTTATTTTTAATCTCACAAAACCAACTTTAACATTTAAACTTAGTATTGTATTATTGTCCATGTTCAAAAGTCATATTAGGATTTTTAACATCGAGATTTAAATCAGGAAAAATTATCTAAACCGAAATATATTCATAAATTTGTCTTAAAACTGAATATTTTGATGTTCAATTGCGATGTTTTTGTAATACACCTAAACATTCATTGTTAAATTGTCCGGGGTAAAGTACAACAGTGACACAGTACTACGCTGAAAGAAAAAACAATAATCAGGGTGTTTTGACGTATTTAAATAAGATTGGGGCCTTATTCACAATTTGGAAAGATTGTAAGGGAAAAAGTGCAAATTAGCTCCATAGATTGAGAGTGAATACAATAACAAATTAAATCGAATTGATAATTTAGTTTTGTTTAGTAATAGCTATTTGATTACAAGTGGCCAGCTTAGACATTTCAATATGAATATACATGATTGGTGCCACTATCTTTTCATGATTTTATTAGTGAAGAGTGGGAAATGTGGTTTGCATGAATGATTTTTTATTCCCAAAAAACAATTCATAGTGACTCGAACTGTATTGAGTAAATTTCATTCTCGTGTAATATTTTATAGTTTACAAAGTGTATGAAATATGTAAATTACATTATATTAATCATGTGTTAACGAGGTCGATCTAAGAAGTATCGGTAATAAATTAAATAATACTATGCTCTCTTGCTCAACAAATTCGATCACTTTAGGGCAGTGGCGGAGCTAGGAATTCGAGACAGGGTGAGCTTAACATTAACGGGGGTTCGGGGGCAGCGCGGCGGATTATTTTTTTTTTGATTCATTCACATAAAAATATAGCACAAAATAACTACAAATTCATAAACTTAAACGAATATAAGCTACACTAAATTACTTGGGTGGGTGGACTTAACATTTACGGGGGTTCAGGGGCAGCGCCCCGATTTTTTTTTTAATTTTTATTCATTAACATAAAATAGCATAAAATAACTACAAATTATAGACTTCAACTAATATAACATAATTTTTTTTGATAGATAAGCTAAACCAAATTACTTGGATAAACTAAATTAAACTATTTGGGTGGGCTAATTATATATAAATATAATATATAGTATAAATTTTTAAAAAATGAGAGTGAGCTGGAGCCCACCCTAGCCAAAGGATGGCTCCACCACTGCTTTAGGGTGATTAATTTATGGGGCTTTGTAAATGCAGAATGATTTTTAGTAAACATATGAAGTTTCTAATCGAATATATTGAACTCAACAACATTTGATTCTAAATACAAGTATCAATAATCAAATTTTCAACATAAATTTGTGTTTTTTTTTAGTGAGTTTTTTCCCAATTTAAATTTAAAAAAAATCCTAACTTCAATTTCGAATTTCGAATTTATATCTTTGAGTGTTGACGAATTTTTGTTGAGATTGAAAAATAGAATTGGGTATATATGTTCATTGTTCAAATTAAAAGGAAAGTGTCTTAAATTTATCGAAAACCATCATGCGTTTATCATTTCAGTTAATTTATTGATTGAAAATTAAGGGGTAGGTGAGCATACGTATTCTATTTAATAACATTGGGGTCAATATGCAATTATTTGAAAATATTGGAGGGACCATTTACTAATAGAGAGTGGTGATAACGTGAGCAGATTCCATTTCGTGAGAATTTTTTTTTTTCTGTTTGTCGGTATTATTACCCCACAACTTATTTATTTATTTATTTATTTTATGCATCACCATTTAATAACCACCCCCACCCCCACCCCCACCACGCACAACTACCTTAATCTGTTTTTTTGTGAGGTTCTGATTATTTGTAATTGGAGGTGGACTTTGAAAACTATTATTGAGTTTTGGTATATATAATTATAAATGATCACGTTACTTCAATTATTAATACAGCTTGATGTATGGCTAACTTGATACGATCAAAAGAAAATTATTTATTTATTTATTTATTCTCCTTTATTTCATTTTTTATTTTTTTGTTTTTTTAGTAATAGAGGAACATGCAACCAATCATATAGCTGCACTGGGTAAACATAAACTCTCGTATAATAACTAGCAAATCATTGAGAGATGTAAACTACACTAGATTAACCGTGTGTAACATGCTTGATCGGCAAGGCGACCGTTGGCAAGGATATTCAAACTTTGGTCAATTGATACAAGCTCACTTTCTCCAAACGTCAAACCACCCATTGCTGGACTTCTTTATTTTACTTCCTTATGGAAGAGGAGTAATCATATGATTTAGGACTTTGATATGCCTAATTGGGCCAATCTAATTGACCTACAATTTATTTACCTATTGGGCCACAAACTCAATATTGAAGACCCCACTGAGGCCCAATCATCCTCAACTAAGGTTTGGGCCCGATAATCTCAATTAACCAACTCCAGCCCAATCAACAAAGTATAAATAAAATTTTAACTCATTTGTTAAGGTACGTCCTATTATCTGAGCAATACTACATGTATTCTCTAGACTATTTCTACTATCCGCACGTCTGACTTGAGCGTCGTAGGTGTTTCCGCCGGATCAACCCCGGCTTAGTTTACGTGTTCTATGATCGCAAGTATCTCAAGGTCATCAAGCTCGCGAGCCAGATCCACTTTACTCTTCCAGCTCATCCTACTTCAATTCTCTAAGGTGATCTAATATTTAGCATCATCAAATTTGTTTTGATCTAAATGTTTTGATCTAAATGTTTTGATTTGTTAGGTGTTTTTTTAAATACCATAAGATACTATTATTTTGAATTAAAAATTGAATATTTTCTTGGAGTATCCTTTACGTAGTAAGGATTATTGGATGAAACGTCATTTGAGTTAGTTTGATGAAATTGTATCAAATAGAGAATATTTGTGCATGATCTATCATAGTTTAGAGTTTTTGATATATATATATATATATTTTTTAAATGTGAATAGATAATCAGATTATTGGTTCGTTAGTTTAACCACATTATGAGTACTCACAATCAGTACAGTCAATACTGCGATACAATATAATTTCTATGGAAACGACACAACTCGGCATATGTTCGATTGTAATCAAATACCATTAAATCGCTCGATACCGCGATAAGATTGGATATCCGATACGATACAATGATTACGATATTTGTTTTGAGGGTGATCTATGCGATTTTCAGCATATGTAGAGGTAATTTGTGCGATTTCCAACACGTGTAGGGGTGATTTGAGCGACTTTCAACATCTTTTGGGGTAATTTGTGCAATTTTCAGCACATTTGTTAATAACAATCGTGTTTTTTTCTTAAGGCAAAACCACAAAATGCTTCAGATAAAAACCATTTATATTAGAAAATGTAAAACCGAAACTAGCATGTCTAAAATCTACGACTTTTATCCTAGTCAATAATTAATGTTGAAACTTGAATTCAAATCTATTTTAAATGAATGGTTTGACTTTCAAATATTATGTTTTTTACGATAAATGATAGGGTATACGATATGTGGAGAAAAACAATAC